GCCAATGGATACGGGCGAGCCGACAGCATTCTATGGTAGTAGCCACCGTCAACCTCGGTGGCAGGCTTACCCACAACCGTGCAGTCCGGACTAAACCGAAATAGCAACAATTCAACCGACGGGAATTGCAGGAAGAAACTCGTTTTGGGCGGTAGCGACTTTGACGGAGGCGGCAAAACAGTTCAGAACGGCGATTGATTGTTCGCGGTACGGTATACCGGTACTGCCCACCAGGGCGCAATGTTCACGGCGGTAAATTTCCGAAACGTCAAAACCCTGTTGTCTAAATAAAGCTGCATGTGTGTGTGTGTGTTTTTTTTTTATTATTAGCATCGACCGCGCTAACCGGCTGACCAATGAAAAGACGTCAGTCTTAGTGCGGTTGAAAACACAAAACACTTCTATCTGCCATGAACTGGGACCCCGTGAGGGGGCAGCATGGGGGAGGCTAAACTATCCTTCGGATCAAAGACAGAAACAGCAGCAACAGAAGAAAACTGGACGCGTCTACCAAGGCTATTACCTTGTACTCTAGTTCGTTTAGGAGCACTTTCACCATTATCCTCCTTGTTTTCGCTACCATCATTCTGATCCTCATCTTGACAAGAATCTCTGGGCAGCTCTCCCCTAGCCCTACGTTTGTTTCTTGTTTTGGGGAAGGTCATCTGGCTCAAACCCTTTGCTCTCTTCCACTCTTCTTCCATGTTTTCCTCCTCCATCGTCGTTTTCGTCCTCCTTTCTTCCCTTTCCCTTTCCTTCGTCTCCGTCACTCCTAAAAGAATTACCCCCGTTACTATCGTTGTCGCAGAGATCCCAACCGATTGGTCTTCTTGGCGGAAGTTGGTCGATCAGTAGCCCATGACGTTTGAACACATCGCGAGTTCGTGTGTGTGTGTGCCAAAATACCGCACCGGTGGGCTGGGGTGGAAAATAAGCCTCATCTACATAATACCAGCTGAATCTCGCCCTACAAGACTCCGATCGACACAGGACATGAACGAGTGTGTTACTGCGTTTGCAGGACTATCATCGTGGGACACACGTGGAGCGGGGTACACTTTTTTGGTGCTGTCACGGCTGTGGTCAGTGGAGGAAGCGGCAGCTACCTCACCGGTTGGGCAGGTAGCCTTGCTTGCACCGCCACCTGGATCTCCCCTCTACAAGACTTTGATTGACGCACGCATAGCACCCAACAGCGCCCAGCAGCTGAGGGGGGGCAAGAGGTGCAACAAGATTCTACATGAATAAACCTCGCCGCACAGCGCCAGATAACAACCAAACTCCTTCTCCAATTGTTATTGTTGACTCGAGCGGAAACCGACCCCCGCCTTCTCTTCTTCTTGCGGGCAAGGTGCATGCCTTCAACAGCCGGCAAAAACATTTGAGACTCGCTGCTGTTTCTCGCGCTCTGCAAGATTCCATTTCAACACAGGATATTATATATGCACAAGTGTATTGCTGCGTTTTGCGTGGCTAAAAGGTGGTACCACTACAAAAAGCTTGGAGACGTTTCGAGATCATCACCACACGTAGCCGTGGAGGCCGAACGCGGGGCATGAGTTACATAAGCCGCACATTGGTCATCATCGACAACCGACAGTACTTCCGCCCTTTCTGCCGGCACTTTGGTAGAGACTCTTATGTACCCGCTCCTTATTACGATGACACTCAGTGGAGATGCGTCAACTTTTACACTTAGGGTCGTGGGGGAACACCCTGCTGGACAGGACTTACTGGGCATGCACTGTACTACTGCTGTCCATGTTCTACCTGGTACCAGGTGAGACCCTAAGCCTAACCCTCACCCACGGCCAACGCACGGCGTAGCGGACGCGATATGGGCGAGAACGCGGCTGCGCCGCTTCTTCGAATGCGGCGAGGGGGCGGTTGACAGGGTTAAGGCTAGGAACCAACGCCCGCCAATCAGACGGCATGAAACCTGAAACCGTCAATCAGAATAATCACCAACAGACCAACAGACCAACGGACCGCAAAAAAGTTACTGGAGGAGGTACCAGGTACACAACAGTCCAGTCTGCTTGAGAGAATCTCCTTCTCGCACCATTGTCTACAGCGTTAGATACCACCGACGAAGCCCCCACCAGGCTACACAGGCGACCAGTCAGCGCTACAAAGTAATCGAGAGGGTATGCTACACTAGCGAACCAGCGTCGATATCGATGGGGTTGAAACGGCCGTGCTCCTGCGACGCCGCACAGCCCTCGGTAGCAGATCCGATCCTCCGTCGTCGCAACGTCACGAAGTGTCGTTGTTGTTGTTGTTGTTGTTGTCGTCGTCTTCACATTAAAAACCGTTCCGATCTCTCTCTACCCAGTACCTTCGTATGTCCGTACTGATCCAACACTCGACTCGGTCGATTCCCGTGGTCACAGGTTAACTTACCCTACAAAGGTACACTCAAACAAACTGGCCCCGAGGGGTCCGCAAGTCAATAGAAATCAACGACAGATATTCTGGAATCCTCCACTCCCTCTGCGCGCTATGCTAGGTATCAACTGAGACTAGGAGTCACTATCATGGGCCGGAGAGAAAGAGGTACACCCCCTTGGTTCAATCTTGGTACTTCACAACGCAAGCAGAGACAAGGCCATCTGGCACAGAAAAAGAGAGAAAAAAGAGAGAAAAAAAAAAATGGAAACAGTAAGAAGAAGAGAAAATAAAATGAAAACAAACTGAAAAAGAGCGAGGACAAAAAGGGACCAGGCCGAAAATAGCAAGAAATAAGAGGCAGAAACAGGCACACGGTGGAGAGACCACTATTATAACGAACAAGCAAACACGCAAACATGGCCACCAACCAGCGATACATTGTAATGGTACGTCATCACTACTGGGGGGTTGGTGCAATGGTGCAGCGTTGGGGGTGGGGAATTGGCTAAAAGAAATTCAATCCGGCACGTATCGTGCCACTCGGTCCGTCTCTTCTCGTTTACTTTCTTCCCTCGCCGTCTCGTCCGTCTCCTGCCCCCCTCCCGCCCCATTGGTTGTTGGCTTGTGGTTTCGTTTGAGCGCTCGTTGTCGGCTGGCCTCTTCTTCCTTCTCGTGCCAGGAGGTCATGGACCTCTCAGCTCCCTGCAGCACCGCCGCATGCCAGGGTACTCCCCCCTCCACCTTCGCGGCTTCCGTCCACCTTAACTTTGGTGCCGTGTCTTTCGGTACGGGAATTCCGAGACAACATGGATCGGTTTTCGTAGATCCGTGGTCAGCCCCGAATGCCTTCAGGTCGTCGAGCACACATTTCGGCCAGTTCTGTTCCTGTCCCCCCCTACGTGGCTTCTCCCCCCCCGCCAGCTCGCCGAGCATCAGTCGTTTCGGGAGTCGCCCGTCCGGCTGCCTTGCCAGTGCTCCCGCGAACAGTAGGCGTCGTTGTCGGATCGTGGCTTCAACGCTCTGGCATTCGACCCTCTTCAGCGTCTGGGCGTAAGAGAGCTGCCGGTAGGTGTCTTTCTTGCGCTTGTACCCGATAACTCGAAGGAGCAGTCGGTGGTGTGTCGACTGCAGCGTCTGATAGTGGCCGCTGAGTGGTGACCATGTCATCATGCAGCCATCATCGCCTCCGCCTGGAGGAGGCGGATCTTGAGTCGGAATGGCGCTTTCGGTCTGTCGAAGAGCTCCTGGCCATATCGCCTGAGGCACGCCCACGCTCCTCTGCTCCTGTAGCTGATCTCCCGGGTGAGGTCGCCATGTTCGTTGACGAGGCCACCGAGGTATCGGAACTCGGTCGTCTGGGCGTGTTTCTGTCCCGCGGCTTCGATGGTCAGCGGTGGAGGCGGGGGGGGCTGTGATGTTGTAGTCGACTTGTCCTTCGCGCGCATCACGAGCGTCTCCGTCTTCTTTTCGGACACCGTTAGCCCGAACTCTCCGAACATCTCAACGATGATGGTCATCATTCTCGCCAGTCCTTCTGCAAACCTGGATAGGACGCCGGCATCATCGGCATACAGCATCCCCCATACTGCCCTCCGTACTCGGTCAAGGGGTGTCTCCTCCCCCCCCCCCGCTTCCGTCTCGCGAGACCCTCTACCACAGATCAACGACAAGCGACTCTCAAGACAAAATAGTATAGTACGCAAGGAGAGCATTTCCAGCCAATGCGATGAAGTGTAACATTGTTTGGAAGGAAGGTTCCCCTCCTTCCTGTCATACGTAATGTAGATCTGCAATCCTCCTAAAGCGTGCCTCTCATGACCTCAGCCCTCCCAAAGGCCGAAATTCAGTCTTCTACAGGTGTGGCATTCGAGTGTTCGGCGTGGGAGTTTCCTTACACTGTTTGCAAGTCTTCCACGTAAAATAACGCGGCCCTCAGTTGTAGCCAATCAGAACCCCGTTATCCTGCCTTGCCCCCTTCCAGGACAACATATATGCATTCCTTATCACAGAACCATGCAGAACGTAACGAACCCTTGTACACCCTCGGTGACCGCACGAAGAAGATGGAGAATAAAAGATACCTCCTGGGTAGCCTCCCTCCCGCGAAACCCCGCCTCCACATCTCCCGACAGTTTAACGTCCAAATTAGTCTATGCAAGAAAAAAGCACAAGGTATCTCAGACATTATCGATACCTTCAACTACAGTAGTAAATCCGCGCACGTCATCCGTATTGCCCAGGGCACTCCCGGTTCTACCAGCTGAAAGACTCGCATATCTGATGAATCTCCACGTCATCCAGCCATCCACCAATACCGCCTCCATCATTGCCAACATGTCGGCATTCCGTGGATTGCCAAAAGCTGCCTCCGCCACTTACGCGGCCGTAGCTTTCAACCCGTCCGTTTCCAATCAAGGCGAATTGTTGGCGTCCGTTCTTCAGAGGCGAGAGGCACCCACCGTCGGAAGCCGTTGGTGGTTGCCTTTGCGACCCTGCAGGGGTAACTGCACCTGTGCCATTTCAACTACCTGCGCGTGGGAAAAAGCCCCGTTCTTCGCGGCGCGGTCGGTAGACCTGTCCTTGGAACCTTACGATTTTTCCAGGGAAACTCAAGCCACTTTCTTCGTTAACACCAGCTTGAGGCTCTCCACTCCGGCAGTGAACTTGAACACCTCTTCCGGAGGGTCCGCCTGATGGGGACCACACGAAAACAAAACATACGTTTCGTTCGGCAAACCAGGCCGGTACCTAGCACCACCATTGTTTCGGCGGCACCTCCAGCCAAAAGCCTTTTAGAGATGATTGAGCCTGGTGAGAGGCCGAGTACAGAGCTCCCTTGGGGGTTTGACACTCCCCTCATTGATACCCAACCCCCCATGTGCGGGCGAGATGTGCTGAAAGAGCCCGCTCGGCTCCAAGACACTCCCCTCATTGACACTCTAATCCTCCTCCAGCGGACACAGTGCGGTGGAAAGTTATCCACCCAACGACCAGGCCTTACCTGTCCTGGTGCTAGGGCCAGATCGAAGCGAGCGGATATTGCTGCAAGGATAATGGCAGCCTCGAGGTGTGCCATGTCCTGGCAACACAGCAAGAGTACAACAAACACCGGATTAAACTGATGTCAGCAGTCAATGTCGGCCGCAATCTTCCTCGTCAATAGCAAAGGGGAGAGTATACGGTAGTAAGACGTTCTCGTTCTCAGCCGACGCGCCCTCTGTCTAAGGTGGCCGTTCCCTTTCCCTCACAAATTCCATTCGTGGCTTGTCTGAGGTTCTTCACACGCTGCCGGTACCCTGAGAAACCCCACAACGTCTTCATGTCGGCCAACAACAAAGCAGCGGCCAGCAGCTTCCGAACAACCATATCATTGATGGTTCGCATCACGACAAGGGCGGGACCAAACGTTTCAGCGGAAGAACACTCACCATTCCGGGGCATTTGCGGGGCCCTCCGCCAAAGGCCTGCGCTACCTCTTCGCGGTGAACGACATCGCTGCTCTTCCGGTCCGCTGGTTGGCCCAAAAGAGCCTCCTCACGCTCAGCATCAATCCACCTTGATACGCGAAAACGTCGTGGAAGTCACGCAAACAATAAGGTTAGAGGGTGAAAATAGGACTGCTGAGTGAACGAACGCCCTCGAGGACCGTTGCAAAAGCTTGGCATGTAGCAAACGCGGCGCAGGCGCTTCGCAGGATGTGGAGATCGTTTCCAGGCCAAGGTGGCCTTGGCCAAGGGTCTACTTCGCAGCAACCGACGGAACGGAGGTACGAGAAAGCCATGAGCGCCAAACACGTTCTCGCCCTGCCCCCCCCGAAGCGCACTAAACAGGTGTTCCATGCGACACGGGAAGCGATCGCCGCCAACGGGTTGATCGCGCACGCCAGCACTTCCGTCCACGCCACGTTTTTCTCGTTGTGCAGAACTGGGAAGCGCACCAGTGGAACAGCCTAAGCCTTCGGGAGAGAGAGAGAGAGAGAGAGAGACAGACAGACAGACAGAGACGGGCAGACAGACAGACAGAGGGAGGTGCATAGAGACAGACAGGCAGACACAGACAGAGCTCACCTTTCAGGCACGAAGTCTTTTGCCCTTGTGAACGAGTGCTCCGAGAGACAGGGATACCGGAGGAGGAGGGTGAACGCCGTCCCGGCCTCGAGCTTCAACCCGCTCTTCATGGTGGTGGTTTCCTGGGAGCGACGTGTCGTTGCGATGCACGCTCTCTCGATGTTCGCTGTTCTTCCGCACGCGAGATAGCCAAACTCTACACAGAGCCGTTGAACGCTCTTGACAGTTTCCGCTGTTTTATTAACGGGTCGGAGCTTCTCGATAGCAGATGAATGTACGACAGAGTGACCGATGAATTTCGACGGATGTGACCGAACTGAAAACTTCCGGTGGGCTTGAATAACAAGTGGCCAGACCAACTGTGTGCAAATTATTACTGTTCCTGTTGCATGTTCCACACCACGATACAGCATGTCCTCAGCCTACCGTGTTATAAAAGAACACCACCGGTGCCGCAGGGCAAAGCCTGAGTGTCTCCTTAAACACCGCAGAGCAATACACCAGCTGAGACGCTTGTTCGCTGCAGGACACCAAGCCATCGCTGCCTCCGCCACAACGGGGAACAGGGTACGAAGCAGCGCCGGCGCACGAACAATCACGGCCGTTGACACAAGGATGACTTGGAATGCAAGCAGCTCACGATATGAACATTCTCCACGATGCCAACATTCGCTAAGATGAGGAACCCGAGGACGCTTCTTATCGAGGAAGTGTTGATGTCGCTGCCTTCTGCGTAGGGTACTTGTCCCAAGTACCATGCCATTGCTTCTGTTACAACCTTAACCTTCCGATAGCAGGCGGCATCGGGAACATCGGGAATGTGTGATGCTACCCAAGGGAGGAGCCCCATTGCTTGAGGGTCATACCTGCCAGACTGCGTGACAAAGGAGCTAAGACAACTCTGTCAATCCCACACAAATATTGTATTGTACACGTACCACGACAGCAATTATAACGGTGGCCCCCGCCTTACAAGGGCACCAAAATCAAGGACATTCCCCTTCAAGGGCACCATCATTTCCAGAAGCATGGGTTCAAAAACATTATTTCCAGGTTCAAAAACATTATTTCCAGGACACTCCTCCCCTTGCTGTTGGGGACAATTTCTTGCAAAAACATGTGCGCCCACAAAGCAGGGAAACCAGTACTTCAAGAACGGGTCCTCGCCTGAGTGGCGCCGCTCTTAGGGCCTCCTCGCGACACCTCAAGTGCATCTCGGGGTGCTTGGCCAGAAAGTAAACAGCCCATGAGAGCGTCTTCGCTGTCGTCTCTGAACCCGCAAGGAACAGGCTTCGGAATCGCGCGCGACACAGCACAGTGGAACGCGTGACGATGGCGAAGGAGTCACCGGTTGGAACTCGACTTTGTGTACAATACGAAAAGGCGAGGGTCGACAAACCCCTACCAATCGCAAACACAGCGCTGGGAGAAAAAGGAAGCCATGATTCAAAACCTGTCAATGGGTGCCAACATTAAAAAAGATGAGGCCGAAATGGCTTAGAAGCAGCAGGAGGCAATGGAGGGGCTGGAACGTAAAACAAACCTTTCACTCCTGCCTTACAAGGGTATTTCATTACTGTGAACGTGAAGGGGGGTGAGGTCAGCACATCGTCCCTTCTCACCATTCATATCCCGCCCGAAACTCCTCAATGATTGTGGAGCAATCCGAGCTATACTTTGAAAATCGGCCTACGGGTGTGTGCCAATCACCAACCTGACTTCTGGGACCTGAGCCCTGCCGCGATAGTGCGTGCTCTGGTGTCGCTCTGCTCCCGAGGAATCGGTTGATGCGGCACTTACCCTTTGCTCTGCGTCACGATCTCCTTGTCCGAAAGCGTCATGCGGTTGCTGACGTCCTTGATGGCGTTGTCGCTGCCCCCTTCGACGGACAGAAGCTTCCGCAGGAGTGCCCCCTCCTCGCCACCCGCGGGGTGGCTAGCGCCGGCTTCTTTCATCTCGCTCCGAGTTTTGTCGATGGCCCCCTTCAACCCAACGGTGCAAAGAGTACGGTGTGGTGGCGAGTGGCCTCGCTCGATTGTTTCGTAACGACAATACATGCAAAACCAGACGACGAAAAAAAACTAAGCAGCAGAGATAACCATGGCTGGTGCTCGAAAGCATGAAGGCACGTCGCCGGGGGTAACGTGTCGACGTGCGGCAGGATAACCCTCCCCAGCAACATCACGCCTGCTGCGTCCCCCAAGAACTATCACTTGACCATTCTTCGGAACGATCTTCACGCTCACCTCGACTACGCGTTGGAGCCTGGAAGACTTCTCCTTTATCTCTCGGACCCAAGGCAACAATGACGACAGAGTCGACCACGCCAACCTGCCCGGCATTCCGGAAATCACGTCACAATATGTCAACGCCATCTCTGAAAATGAGACGCATATTGCCCTACGAACGTCCGACCCCACTGTGAGAGCGTCCACAACATGAATCTTCTGCTCGAGCAGAAAAAAAGTGGGGAAAATACATGAATGAAAACGAGTGAAGATACACGAGTGGACGAAAACGAGTGACCAAAAACAACTGAAAAACCATAGCATTGAACACAAACGAGTGAACGAAAGTGTATATAAAAAGTAGTGCAAATAATAAAAACGACTGAAAATACTTCGTACATACCAGTGAGCACAACGAGTGAAAGAAAATGTGAACAAAAATATGAAAAATATCGAGTGTACAACCACTAAGTCTGCAGTGAAACGAGTGAATATATTCAAGTGACCTTAAACCGCCACAAAGAGTGAACAAACAAGTGACCGTGAGAACAAATACACTGAATAACAACGAGTGATTCAAAAGCCAGTGCAAACTATCGAGTGACAAACGAGGGAACAAAAAAGAGCCCCAAATATACTTTGAACAAAAAACTGTGAAAATAACGAGTGAACCAAAAGACAGCGACAAAATCGAGTGAGTAAAAAGAGTGCGCAAAAACAAGTGAACCAAAAAGTTCTAAAAATTGTGAAAGAACGAACGAACAGACACCAATGACGTGGCGGTATTGTATCAATTCGAAAGGCAACAGCATGCCAATATTCTACCCAGTGCAAAGGCCGTTAAACTCACGAGCAGGGCCACATCGACGGCACGGGGGCACCGACCGACAATATTCTTCACAGCTGCCGAGAGGACGGAATATAACTTGCCCTCACTACTTCCCCGAAAAGAACTAACATTGCCAGCGGATCCACGGATAGGGCCAAGGCAGCCTCGACGATTGCACCCATGGCTTCGAACGACACGCTGGGGCGATCCTTGGTAGCCCGCACGCTGTCTGCGTCGAAGCCGAAGCCTGAGAGGGCGATAGCATCGTGAGTGTAGCGCCCTGCGAAAAACAGCGGGGCGATCCGAGGAACAAGATTTGAAACGGGAGATAGCAATTACCAGGTATGTGACTAAAGGCCGACTCAGCTCTATTCTCAGCTCCGGTCACTTTGCGTGCCGAAATATCGCTGGTGTGCCTCGCTCAAGAGCAACAAAAATACCTATTGACCGGCAGGGAGACAAAAAGGCAGCCCACCCAAAAAGCGCCCGTATCAGCAATGCGCACAGGACACACACAGTACAATACTATTCACCATGCGTAACCTACCTGATTGTGGGGCAGATATCCTTTCCAGATCCAATCTACTGCCTACCGGTACTGCTGCAAGATTCAAACGCGAAATACCACCGGAGGGTACATACAGCACCCTCAACATATGATCGACCCGGTGCCGCATCTGTGGGGGAGAGCAGAGCAAACGCACACCGGTGCCGATGCTAACGTACTGCCTCTGCCTCGGTGCTTGATGCTTTTGTGATTGCGGTGCGCGTGGTTCCTAGTATTGGGGGTGAAAGGAGGTTCGTCTGCTGTGTGCCACATTTCGCTCAAGGGTTTTTTCACAACTACACTCCGATCACACCTCCGATCACAGTTCTTCAATATCGTACAGAATTGAAACATGTATCACGACTTTTTCGCATTTTGTGCCATAGTTCATGATGGTCTAGTTTTTTGAGTGAGCCGTTATTGTTTCATCGCTTCTGTGAGGCGGTTTCCCGTCAGTGTATTCGCACCTAGCGCTGCTAGCATATGCGCTTTTTGCCGTTTGCTCTGTCCAACGATGAGGCGGAGAAGATGTACAAACAGGTAATGCTTGCACAGGTACATCCTCTGTGCGGATGGTTGCTGTCGGAGACATAGTCTATGCTCAGAAACTACTGCTGCCGTCTCTTTCTTTCTCTCCGATTACTGCTGTACAGCTGTAGTCCTCTACGTATACCCGTGTCCCCATCCCTGTGAGCCCCACACATGGACCCACTGCTGCACCACCCCTGCCGCCGTGATTTGTGGGTATACACGCATGCATGGCAGATCTTTGACCACAGAGAGTCAGCTGGGAAAAAAAAAAATCAAACCAACCCAGTCACGCAAGGGTTGAACAGAACGGAAACAAATGTGGAAAATGTCATCTGCACCTACCTCGGCATGGTGTCTTTTTGAGTAATAAAAAAATATCAACAATTAGAGAAAACAAAAACAGAAATATTAGCAGGAAGAAAAATAAAAAACACGCGGTTGTACCCCTCTGCTGGAAAATCGCATCTTTAAGGAGAGCGATCGTGTCGTGGGAGGCGAAAATCTGCTGCTCGAAAATTTGATCTCTGTGCAAGGGTGCCTCGCGTGCATGCGAATAGTGTGAGATGCGAGGACGTCCAAAGAACGGAGAGCAGCAAGCTGAAGCTGCCCAGCGCAAAAGTATGTCTGGCGGGAGGAGCCGCAGAATCGACGCCGCGCCGCCGGTACAAAAAAGGGCAAATCATGAGCCGAGCTGTCCACCACGCCACCACAAGCTCGAGAGAAGAGCATGGAATCGCTATTCAATCACAATAGGGCTCAAGTCTATGTTTTCAGGGGTGGTTTGGAAAAACCTCCCGGCGGCGTGTCTCTATACTTCATTTCTCACCAAATTCCTGGACGAAGTCCACGGGCTCTCCCTGTCCATCCCCCAACTTGGCGCAGACCCGCTCAGCGATCTACGGGTCGAGCGGAGAGAGAGAGGCACGAGAAACGGCTTGCTGCGGTTTGCGTGTTTTGTCCCGTCTGGCTAGTCTGGCGCCAGTCTACTACAGCAGTACACGCCTTTCGGTGCACCTGTTTGACGTATCAGCCAGGGGTACCCACGCGGAAGGAAGGGCACACAGGAGCTGTGTTCGAAGTAAAAAACAACTTAATGCCCCACCTCTTTAGGGTTCGACCGTCTCTCACATCGTCCACCGCCAACATCGTCCACCGCCAAGCCAAGTGCGAATACTCACGGAATTAACAGTCTCCCCCCGCAAGTTCCGAGTTTTTTCCTTGAGGGAGATAATCAAGCTCTAACCTGCCACTATTGTGGTAGATTTCGAGGTTAGCAGCAACTTAACAACACCGAGTGGGCGGCGGGCCCTGAAACATGAGCAAGAGATGCGAGGTGGAACGAGCAGAGAGAGAAAATCAACTTCGGCATCCATACTCTAAGCGTGGAACATGCCCAAGAAATACATGCTCAAAGAGAGGGAGCAAACAGGGCTGTCACAAAAAAAGGCTCGCGAGAAGCACGGAGAGCTCCCTCACCTTCGCGATGGAAGGAACCATGCCAGCAACGTTCTTGTGCCCGCTGAGAAACGGCGCTATGAGTCGCCTCGACCGGCCCCACTCTTTGCCCTCTTCGAAGAAAAGGGACGGGTAAACCCCTACCTTTTTCGACATCCACGGGAATTGTGACTTGTCGTCGGTGGGGGACGGGGTCGGGTTGGCGCGGGGAAGAAGCCCGTTCGAAATTGTCGCGGTTGGTGGCCAAATCCGGAGGGTTGGGAGTGGCAGGCAGGACAGCAGGCAAGCACAAGCAGGCAAGCAGACATGCAAAGAAAGCGGAGGGAAGAAGAGGCAAAGAAGTACGGACACAACGGCCAGAGGGCATTTACGTGTGTGTGTGAGGGCGTACACCGCGGGGGGGTCACCATCCTTACGCCCGAAGTAGACAGGACCTGATAATATTAGCAGAATACATACGAAACGTGCGTCAAGATCTCCCCTTGAACATCAAGGCACTCTGTTCCCGTAAGCTTTGAGCTCGGATTACCAACAAAGGAAACATGGAACGAGACAGGCGTCCCCTGCATGACGCGAACGACACATTTCATCGTCTCAAAAGGATTATTGATTGCACGGAATTTCGACAACAAAAACCCTTACCGGACGCCAACCCCTCTTGAACTTGGAAGGGCGGAGGAGAAGAATGCGGCGGATGTCTTCGGGGTCCGTGACGAAAATCACCCTCTTCCCGATAAGCGTAATCTCGTAGTCTCCGCCGAGATCGTCCGCCCACCCTTCGACCTGCTGCATCATCTGACGAGGGTTCAAGGATTCGGACACCACGTGCCAGAACATGAAAAAACGAAGGGATCATGAGGGTGATTCGTACATGCGAAGACGTTAGCGCGACGGGACGATGAGGGAGGCCAGGGAAAGAAACACTACGGACAGGAACCATGAAGAAGGCTAGGTGGACCTTCCGGGTAAGTCTGACGGGAGGAGACGGGACGGAAGACAAAACACTCGACGCCGGTTTAGTGATCTCAACCGCGATCTTCAGCGAATGAAAGAAAGACGTAGAGAGCTGGCATACGGGGAGCGGCGGGAGCCTCTCAAAGCAGTGGATTTCTGGCCGCTGTGACACTTCATGCCACCGAACAGACAGTACCGGTTGGATCATGAGAAAACCACACGCCAGGCTCAACTCAGGCTGAGCCTGGGCATTCTAAGACAACATGCATGTGTGTTTGCTGCAAAACAACCAGTCCACCTTCTCAGACTCCATCTGAAGTGTGTGCCCGCCGACGAACGGAATCCATCTCGGCAACACGGCCACGGGGCTCGGGAGCGAGGACGAGCCGGCGGCGCTCCGCCCCAGCTTGGCCACCCTGCGGGCCCGCGAAGTCTCAGACCATCTCCAACAAACGTAGTAGGTCAGAGCGGACACCACTACCAGGCTCAGCGTCCCCGTCTTTGTGCCCAGCTCCAAGCCTCGCGATCCGATGCCCATCAGAAGCATGTTTTGGAGCCGATCGTGGTGGTCTTGGGCTCGAACCGCTTGGGCTGCTTGAGGTGCAGCGGAAGAAGACGCAATCACGAGCGGGTAGGTGCCATGATGCGACGTGCCAAGCGGTGTGGAAAGGCTCGCAGCTCCGACTACACGTGAGTGAGAAACAGGACAAGATACTTCGAATGACAAGACGCCTATCTGGCCGAGAAACGTTATTGTGGGAGGCGTTAGCAAGCACGGATATTGTTGCGGGCGGAGATTTTTCACGCATCGTGGTACAGGAGAAACTCAAATGCGACATGACATGAGGAGGCTAACAGACCAAGGGCGGACGGTTGGGGTGGTAAAACGGCGGCGCAGGTGGCCAAGAACGCATCAACCGCAGAGCGGGGGGCGAGGACAGAGAGGAGACAGACAAGAAAAACAGGCTATGAGCTTCAGCCAAGGTACTTCCGTGGAGTATTGTGAAAAAAGAAAAACGGCCTGTCGTCGACGGCATGCATCTCCGCCTCCCCCAACTACCCTTGATATATCTTTCGTGTGGTGGGGCTACTTGTTCGTTAGTCTTGTTGGCGAAAACTTGGCAAGTAAATGCTCCCCTGTGTAAAGTAGGGGTGCAGGAAAAAATGGCATACTGCGGTCTCATGTACCGCTCTGCTGGTCCGCAAAACGAAACATCCGGGGGGGGGGGGGGGGGAACCCCCGGGGGGGCAAACCCCTCCGGCCATACCCCCTATGCATTCCAATCCAAATTTTTTTTTGCTTCTTGAAAAAACTCAATGGGGTGTATGCCCGGGCTAATCCCCCCTGAACTGGCGTGCATTATTACCCTATCAATGGGAAAACCCTAAAAAAGGACTTGGGTGGGGGTTGAAGGATGGCAAAAAACCCAATTTTCAAGGAAACCCCCCAAAAAAAACTAACACACAAAACCATTTGGAGGGCATCCGGGAAAACAAAAATCTTTTATTCCCCCACAGGGCGGCAATAAAAACTGCCCAAAAAATACACAAAAATGAAAAGTCTACCTGCACAAGCCTCCTTTCAAATGAAGATAAAAAATCACACCTGTCACAATTCAAGTCCAAAAAACGAAAACGGCCGGCCCTCAAATGAGGTCTCTCTTGCATTACACCTGATGCATTCTACTGATATCACTATAAGACACCCTATAGCAGCGAGGTGTGTGTGTTGGCGCGCTCAAATCCGCTTCCTGAATGGTGATATCCAGGGTCAAA